CCGCCGGCCCACGCCGCCCCACAATCCTTCCACCCTTCGACCCTGTCCCTTGGCCGGCGGCGCCGCCACATAATCCAGTCGGCCCACGCCGCCCCACAATCCTTCCGACCCGCGACCCTCTCCCTTGGCCGCCGTCGCCGCCCCACAATCTTGCCACCCCGTGCCGCCCCATAATCCTTCCGGCCTGCAACCCTCTTCCTTGGCCACCTCCACCCCACAATCCTTCCGGCCTGCGACCCTCTCTCTTGGCCGCCGCCATCGCCCCACAATCCTGCCGGCCCGCGACATCGAAAACCTTGGGGTTAGTGCATCTTCATTTTGGAAATTGAAATACACAAGCCTCGAATTTTTCCTACTCTTAAACTAAACTTAAATTGTTTGCATTGCAGTTCCTTCTCATTGGTTGGCGGTCTAGTAACTTCTACTTCGGCATCATGGGCCATGGTACTTCTTTCAACTCCTATGCCCCAATTGCCATCATTTTTTGATCTTATTTTTTTATGGCTTATAAATAGTCTTTCTTTTTTGATTTCATTTTATATCTACTATCGCAACCTTTTATTTGTGATGATTTTCCTAATTTAGATATATATTTCTTTCCATATTTGAAAAACTTGACCAAACAATATGTTCCAGATTATACATTAGGACTAAATAAAATTCTGGACCTTATTTAGCAAGGGCCAAAGGGGGGGGGGGGTCGCTACTGCCCATCAACCATCACTTGTAGGTCTCAAATATGTTCATACACTTAGCACACACATAGTACCTTAGTTGCTCGTCATTTAGATCAAAGCCGCCTAGGCACCTACATGTTGTTTCGGCATATGCATGTGATTTAGTAGGATTAACAACAGATGCAATTTCATTATTGGGATTATGTTCCTTTTCAAAATGAATGATGAACAATTAAGGTACTATGTAGGTAAAGTTATGAAGTATAAAAAATTTCATTGCTTGCAAGAGGAAGCTTTGACAAATGTTGAAACAACAAACCAGAATGTTTGGTAGTAGGTTTCACAATCAGAGTACATTATTGAGAATCAACATGTTCCTAAATGACTTAACCAGTTTTCAAGGCTAGTTGTTATCCAAGGAAAATAATAGGGCATGTCATGTTTCTAAATAAAATGCCACCATAAGTCCATAACATGCCCATGTGTAATAGAAACGAATAGATTGAATGCAAAATAGGATTAAGATTGTTTTTGACAAACATGGTACAAACGAAGGCCCTTAGAAACACACACACACACGCACGCACACACACACACACACCTATAAACGCAAGCACTCACACCCTGTCGCTATGAGCACCTCTGAGAGACTGAGCCGGTAGATCTTGAGGTTGTCGAAGTCGCCTCATGCACCTCATAGTTGACGAGCATACTACCATTGAAAGAAAGCACCAAAAATCCTGGAATCAATCCAGGAAAATGTGGGCACCAGTGCCAAATCTAGGACTTGGAACCCGGGTGGACTGGTTCCACCACAAAGAATCTAACCAACTCAGCTAGTTACCAAACATGGTTGAGACTTTAAACACACTGATAGTAACATACTCCTTCCGTCCCACAATATAAGATGTTTTTGCAAATTATTTTAGCTTGTAAAAACATCTTACATTATGGGACAGTGGGAGTATTTTGTAGCGAAACAAGAGATGCAAGTAAGAACATGTTATCATACACTTGTGTAAAGGATGAAAAACTTGGACAACAATACCTTCCAGATTATACATTAAGACTAAATAAAATTCTAGACCTTATTTAGCAGTGGCCACAATATTGTTGTATGATGACTTTCTTTGTTGTCACATCCAAGGTACTTCATCTAGGTTAATCTTGATTATAAAACTCAATCCGCGTATTTCTTCCATGAATTACTAAAAGTTTTGGCCTCACAAGATTGGTTGGTTACAAACTTTAGAATTTAAACATTTTTTTGCACTTCTTTGTTGTGAGGGTCAATGAATGTCATCTAGGTGAATCTTGACTATAAAACTCAATCCTCTTTTTTATTCTCTGAATTACTCTAAAGTTTAACCTCACAAGATTGGCTGGTTAAAAACTTTAGAATTGAAACCCTTTTCCCTCTACTTTGAAGGTAACCACATGATGCAATGGTCGGATCAAAGTTAACCGGTTCCAAAATTAAGATGAAGTGAATAGAACATGCATTGCCATGCAAATTTGAGTCTCTATTGACCTCCAAATAAGTTGAAACCAAATAGGATCTAACTATCTCTATTAATAAAGTAAGGTGCGTTTCGTTAATTTTTCATCCGTTCACCGCCGAAAACATTTTTTTCTATCCGAGGTGGTATTAAATTCATATGCGTTTGTCTACTAGAAAAAAAAGGTTTTTTCCAGAGGAATTTCATACGTGGGTCGCGCGCGGTGGCCCAGCGAAGCTAGCCCACTTATTTTCTGCCCACATAGCTCAGAAAATTATATTTTCCGCACAGGGCGACCAATAGTCGGAGCGTCGCACAGGACAACCAATAATGGGCTGGCCCGTTTTTCCTTGTTTCTATGTTATATATATATTCTCCTTCCCCTATTGCTTTTTTACTTCCAAGTTTCTTTTTCTTATAATTTATTTCATAAATTCAAAATTCTCAAGAAAAAATAGAATTTCAGAAAAAAAATCAAATTATAGAAAATGTTTAGAATTCCAAAATTTGTTTCTACTTTCAAAAATATTCCGGACTTGAATTTTTTTTCAATTTTTTTGTATTTTATTGATTTTCAAAAATAATCAAGATTTCTAAAAAGAAAATGGCAATTTAGAAAATGCTTCAAATTCGAAAAATATTCTAGTTTGCGTGAAATTTTCACAAGTCAAAATAATGTTAAAAGATACACATTTTCGAAAAATGTTATGAATTTTCAATGCTTGTTCACGTTCTAAAAAATTGTTCACAAATTCAAATAATGTTCATATTTTCACAAGAATATTGGTGTTTTCAGAAAGTGTTTGTGAATTTTAAAAGATATTGCTGTGTCAAATTTTGTTCACGATTTTCTCAAAGTGTACATAGTTTTCAGAAAACTATTCAAGATTTAAAAAATGCATCATATTTCCTACAATATTCATAAACTTCATACATTAAAATATTGTCGATTGAAAAGAAAAGTAGATTAAATAACTCATGGGCCTTCTATAGCGTACGATGATGACGTAACAAAACTCTTAACTGCACCGGGTCAATGAATGAAAAAATAGCGGACTTATTATTTCACACCCGGCAAAACGGAGAAGCTAAATGTTCATTTTTGTGTGTGCACAGGGTTTTGCTTGCACATATAATTCTCACTGGCTTTAAATGTACACTAATTTCTCTCCCGTTGCAACGCACGGACATATGTGCTAGTGGTTGTACTAAAGAGACATGCGAGATGTCAGAACTAGACACAGACACCTTTAGCCTATCAAAAGATTGATTAAAGTAATATGCCTATATATTACCTCTAGGTGATTCCTAGTGACAGAGTGAAATATAAATATGGTGTGACATTTATTAGGTACTAAACATGTTTTACAAGAATGTAAAACAACACATTATATTTCTAATGCAATCATTTTTCAGATGATGATATGAACTTAGTCGTTGGTCGCATATCTCCGTCGGCCCGTACAAGTATATGGGATGGTGTGATCCAACTTAAGAGCATCGCGGTGTTTGTGCTCGCTTTCTTTAGAAGGTAAAGAAGTAAAATGATTATGCTTTCAAATGATTTTTTACATCATTCTTACCATTGATTTAGTATGATGTCTCATTGTTCTGTCTTTAGACAAGTAACATATTTTGTTTCGATAACTGACAACCTTATACATGTAAAAATGATTGTTGTTTTGCACTTACCAAATTGGTGGTTTGCTAAAACATCTTTCAATTTGTTACAATAGTAGCTTAAATATCATGGAGCATGGAGCAAAAAATTGTCATTGAACTATTAACCACAATAGTAGCTTCTAAATTGATGTGGCTTCCTTCTATTAGTGTCTTAGGTATGAGTGAAAAACATATTCAATCTTATAATACAACAGATAAATGAGAGCAAAAAGGAGTATTATTAAAATTTATGCACGCCTTATATACTGAAATGAGACTGAAGAAGCAATATGCCCTTTAATCATATATGCAGAGAGGCATGCATCCATTCAGTAAATGTTTGAATTATAAGCATGAACTTGTATGTTGTACCACTTACAATGATCTGTTCTACCAATTGGTGCACAATTAATTCACTACTGCTGGGAGCATGTATCATCTGAATGGCTTTGTTTCTTTGTTCCAAAAGAGAATTCATAACTCATAAATTGATCGCCATTGACACCACCTACAGAAGAGTGGCTCAACATTCTTTATCAATCCCTCCATCTTTTTGATATCCTCTAGCGACAGAACAAACACCGTGAGACACAACTTAATCAACTATCATATATGCAGAGTAAAACACACCACCTCATGCTTACTCAAGAGCGTGCATGGTGGACCAAGAGTCGAAATTGAAGTTTTAATAGAATTTTAAAATCACCGATGACAGATCAAAAGGAGATTGTGAAATTTAAACATTATCAATGAACTCCATCAGTCAACCTCGTCGTTGTTTCTATCCACCTTGACCTCCGCCGCAAGAGGCTTGTGCCACCGACTTGTTCGTGGCTGGTAACCTCCTCCTCTATGACTTGACGCAGGCGCCGAGAGTGAGCAGGGCAAGACAATGGCGCCCCAAATGTGCAACTGTGTGAGACCGTCGTCGACGCGCTCGCTGTGCACCCCTGCCACGAGGTGAGGCTTGCGTGCTCCCTAGTTCTCCCATCATATTCCCTTCCCCTCAATCGAGATCATCTCCTTCATCTCCAGCCCATGCCCCCATCGCGACGGGATTGTCGGTTCCTCCTGCATAGAGCCTCCTCTGCACCGCCGACAACGTCATGGCTAGGCAGCACACGCGATAGTATGTGCCTGGTTACTGACCTTTCCGCAACACATTCGACGAAGTCTTGCCCTACAACGGTGGCGATGAGCGTCTGCTTGGATCTGGATACTGGAGATGTCATGGCGGCTGCCATGTGCAATGGAGAAGGCGCCGGCTTGCATCAGTGGCTCATGTCATCAAGCAAGTGCCTCAATCAATCCATCCGCAAAAAAGTTGATCTGGCTACTTAGCTCACAAGCGCCTCAATCATTCTGTTGATCCAGCTAGCGGCTTAGGTAGCTAGATTTGTACATGGGTGTTACCTTGGCCTCGTCCTCTGTATGAAGCTACCTCGGCCTCTCGTGATCCATATGAAGCGTCCCATGGGATTGACCTCCTCGTTCGGTGGCTCCATCAGTTCCTCCTCTGCCTCCATGGGATCGACTCCCTCATGAGCTAATATTTAGAGGGGAGGGGTGGGTAGAAGGCAACGATGCATGTAGAGTTCTTCGAATCTAGGTCCTGCTTTTTTTGGGGCCAATCCAGGTACTTAGGTGTGCATGGGGATGGAGTCGGCCGAAGAAGGTCCAATGCAGCAACGACGCGACATACCAAAATGAACGGACAGAGAACCAAGAATGGATCCTTTGTTTTATATTATTTAATTTTATCATTCAATTTAACTGATTAATTATATTATACCCTAATCTAACTTATGTTTAATATGGAAGCGATCAATCTCCACATGCTTCGTTCTATCATGCTGGACTGGGTTGTTGGCTATGTTGATAGCTGATTTATTATTGCACCACACCTTCACAGGGCCCTTTCTAAGTACTTTTCAGTTCTGACAGGAGATTTTTTTAAGCTTTAACAGGGGATTTCTTTTCAGTTGTGACAAGAGATTGCTTGGTCACAACATCTTAGTAAGGCCTACTGTCATGGCCCTGTACTCTGCTTTAGTTGTCGGTCTAGACACAATGGATTGCTTCTTTCTCCATGACACAAGGTTCCCTCCAAGAAAAACACAATATCAAGAAGTTGATCTTCTATTATCAAGGCAATTAGCCCAATCAACATCACAATACCCCTCTACATTCAAGTGTCCATTGCCTTTGAACCATAGGCCTCTTCTAGGACTCCATTTTAGATAGCGCAATTCTATGTGCTACCTCTAAATGCCCACTTCTTGGGTCATGCATGTAGCGGCTCACCACTGACAGCATAGGATATGTCAGGTCTCGTGTGGCACAAATAGATGAGTCGACCGATAAGCCGCTACTAGCTCTCTTGATCGGATCTCCTGACTGTGCACATAGCTGATGGTTTTGCTCAATTAGAGTTGACACAGCTCGGCACCCAACATACTTGTCTCAGTGAGCAGATCCAATATATATTTTCTTAGAGCGAGAACTATTCCTTTAGCAGAGCTTGCAATCGCAATTCACAAAAAATACTTGAGTTGACCTAGATCCTTAATCTCAAATTCTTTTCTCAACATCACCTTCAGCCGACTTATCTCTACATTATCGTCTCCGGTGATAACAATACCATCCACATAAACTGCGAGTATGGTAATATGACTCTCTGAATGCCTATAGGAGTATCGGACACAATATGATCCCCATGACACTATTTATAACCCATACTGCATATGGCTTGTCAGAATTCATCAAACCACTTGGTGACTGCTTGAGACCATACAGAATTCTTCAATTGGCACACCTTGTCCGTGGTGCTTGGAGTACCAAAGCCAGGTAGAATCTCCATATAAACTTCTTCCTGAAGATCTCCATGCAAGAATGCATTCTTGACATCCAACTGATGCACTAGCCAACCAGAGCTAACAACACAAGAAATAAGAGTTCTTATTGTAGTCATCTTTGCAACGGGCGCAAAGGTTTCATCATAGCCAATCCCATAGGTTTGACCTTAGCCCCTTGCCACTAGTCTCACCTTGTACGATTCTACTTTCCCTTCTAGGGTTTGCTTCGTGGTATACACCCACTATCAAGTAACTTCCTGCTGGAAGAGAAACAAGATACCATGTCTTGTTCTTCTGAAGAGCTTTCGTTACCTCCATAATGGCCTCATACCACTTTGGATCATGTATTCCCTTGGGATAACAAAAGATTGTAATGAAGCAATGAAAGCTCTATACCCTGGCGATAGTGAGTCATATGCCACATAGCTTGCAACATCATGCTCAAAATTGTACCTTCCAGGAGGCTTTCCTGCTTTAGCTTGTGGTTCTTTCCTGCTTTAGCTTGTGGTTCTTTCCTTCAGGCAATAGGCAAATTCAATGAATCATCACCTATGATACAGGGCCCACTCTTAGATGAGTCCACTTCAATAGGCATTGAAATCTGTTGTTTAAACTAGCGTCAACCAAGGAGCTTATAGACACAAAAATAATCGAAAATGATGGAACACATAAGACTGAAGACAATGTGATACACGAAGTGTATTTCATAGTGTTGATCCATTTGATAGGATGATAAGTTCCATCAACGACTTGAATAATCTTTTTATGCATAGGTGGATGTGGAGCATATGGTTCAAACTCACTCCACCTTCCTATGGCATGTGCTAATGCTCCAAGAGTCTAGTATCCAGTTGGAATAAGAAGTTTTATTTGAGGTACCTTTGCCAATATGAGCAGGATTAACAAGATTTCATAGAATTGTTGTTTTTCCACTTTGGTTTGGAATTTCTGTAGTCCTCTTTGACCGTCTCAATTTCTCTAACTCTTCCACTGAGGGTTTAAGCATCTTACTTGATCCTTTTGCACTCAAATTTAGATTGCCATTTTTTTCCTCAAACAAATGAGTGGACTTTTCATGTAGCTTCTTAATTCTTTGATTTCCCCCCATTGTTCAATGTCACTGAAAAGCACCAAGAGCCTCTTCTCTTCTGCTCTATTGGATCTTCTCTTGCACTTTACTTGAGCAACAACAGTTAAAAAGCAGGTCTAGTGCAGCTACCACACCAATAACATGAATCCACCACGCTGCTCCATGTCACAAACACCAACCACACCTCCTAGAAGTTCTCCTTTGCCTTCTTTCAGCAACCAGCGGAAAAACATCTCGTTCTCTCCACTAACGGATTCCAGCAACACACCTCTTCTCTGCTTCTTGCTACAGTACTCACTGCACCAGCACCGCTAACTCCAGGGAGTTAATTGCTCAAAACCACCACATTTGTAACTAGGCTACTCCAAAACTACCGCTTTCGTCAAAAATCACAAAAGACCACCATTTCTGCGCCAAGTGGATAACAAATCGCATTGATTCGAAATTGAGCGCGTCTAACAGCAAACCTGATGGTTGCGACCGTCATGTGGCAAAGACTAATCCTAGTCGATCTTTGACCAATTGAGGTGGACGGGGGTCCCACCCGTCAGCTCTACTCTCCTTCTCTTATCTCCTCTCCTCCCTTCCAACAGGAGCGATGGAGGAACAGCAGCGGCGGCTGACCATGCTAGCTCCGGCGAGGACGAACCCCCGTGCCCCATCATGCTCCCGCGTGGCCGAGCCCCCTCTCCTTCCCCCACCCCTGCCCGCTCTAGTGAGGCCGAACCCTCGCATGCCCACGCCCCTGCTTGCTCCAGCGAGGCCAAAACCCCGCGTGCCCGTGCCCCTTCCTCCCTGCGGCAAGGCCGAGCCCCCGCCTGCCCGCGCCCTTGCCAGCTCCGGCGAGGCCGAGCCCCTGCGCGCCCGCTCCATCAAGGTTGAGGCACAACCGCCCGCCCTCCCTAACAAGTGTCGGGTGGTCAGTCACCGCGACGACGCCTTGCGGGGTGGATTCGGGAGCTGGTGCCAGCGGGAGCTCGTAGAGCGACGCCGGAGAAAGGTCGAGCGCAGGGGAGGCAACACCGCACGCGCGGGGGAGGCCGACAGGCGCAGGGTGGGCTTGATCCTCGCGTTGAGATGGGCACTCAGCCGCGGGATGAGGCGGGCGCGGAGCGGGGCTTGCTGGAGAGGCGAGCGCGAGGCGGCGACGCTTGCTGGAGGGAACCCCTCCTTCAGCTCGGCCTCAGCCGCCGGTGGAGCTGGTTAGAAGGGAAGGGAGTGAGAAATTTGAGGAAGGAGGTGTGAGGCAGACAAGTGGGACCCCCATCCACCTCAGTAGTCAAACTTTGACTAGGACTAGCCTTCGCCACATCAGCCTAGACAGGCAGGTCCCACCTATCAGTTTTCCTAGTAGACACGGCTCAATATTAAATCAGTGCGATATTTTATTCACTTGCCACAGTGTTGATGGTTTTTTTGTAGTTTTCGGCGAACGTCGTAGTTTTGGAGTACCTTAGCCAAAAATGTGACGGTTTTGAGCAATTAACTCACCTCCACGTGATAATAGCCGTAAGGCTTCACCCAGCTCTACATTCACGAGCACAGACCAACACCGCAGGCCTACAGATCCTTCTACTTGCACGCGTTGGTGGCAGCCGTCTTGGCCGAAGCTTTCAATTTCGAGCAGCCACACCTCTGCTTCCTATTGCTGCCCCTAGCACCCACGACCTGCAGTACCTGCACGAGCCACAAGAAAGGGCCCCAGTCCCAGATTGCACACCACAAGCTTCAATGCCGACCTGCTGCGTTGCCCCATTCTCCTTGCCGCAGGCACTTCTTCTCTCTGCTCTAGTCCACCACCAGCAGCGCTTCTATTTCCCTTGCTCCAGACCAGCTCCTCTCTGCTATAGGCCATGGCTCTGTTGCAGCTTCTCCCATGCGATTCCCCCTCACTCCAGGAAGCTCCACTAGCGCCAGAACCTTCCTCACCCAGAGCTACGAGCACCACCTTTCCTCTCACCTTTGGTGATGGCTTCAGTCGTAACCTGGGTCTGATACCATGTTGTCTCTTTGGGGAAAAATCTGGAACACTCTCTTCCTCTCTAGCTACAGCCTACAAGCATGAGTAGATATACACAAGGGTGGGCCTTTAGGCCAAACCCATACACACACCCGGCACATACACTCAGCCCAATATATATCCTTAGTTCCTTACTAGGATGTTGATTGGTAGAAGTTTGCACCGTGCTTCTAAGTTATGTAACTGTTTTACTACTCAATCCAGTCAAATCTCCATTCCCTTACATAATAGGTGTTGAAGCCTTCAACTGTAGGACTTGAGATGGTTTTGGTCCTTTAGGCATCACTTTCATAATAGTACAGGGACAAAACATACATTTTCTATTGGTACTAATGGGGCATAATGTCAAAAAAGAATTTGATAGCGAGAGGCCAATGAGGTCAAACGAGTCAAACTCCAACAAAACAAGCCTTTCTGTCATATTATTGTATTAATTAAAGTAGGTAGTTGTAACATGTTAATTATTTCAGGTTGAAACGTTTCGTTGTTGCAACATCTCCACTACATATGATTCTATTTTTTGTATGTAACACAAGTTTTCATATAAACATTTCGGGGTTTAAAGATTTTTGATACCGATCATCAGATAATGTATATTTTCGTATGTATATGTGGACTTCTGTTCATTTCTTGTTCCTGCTCAATTATTCCTTGTACCATTTTAAGTGGAAAATAGTAGCGAAGACACTACTGCGCTTCTAGAAATTGTTTGATGGAAAATGTACAATGGAGGGTGGGCAGCCAGAGCTACCTTACAAAATATCTAAGTACTATTGCATTCAATCTTTGAGGCTAGGTTTTTCTCTATACATATCATTAGCAAAGTATTCTTTTAACATCCTAAAACATTCATGAATGTTAGGTGTGTCACCATCAAATACGATCATGTTACTGTGATTCCATTAGCTCCAGAATACAAGAATAACCATCTCAAAGAAGCATTTGTCTTGGCTCTTGTGTTTACTTCTTCTAACATACCCATGAGTTGCATGTCCAAATTCCACTCCTGGTTCAACATCCACCAAAAGTTTTGGCCAAATCACATCAAAAAAATAAGTGTTGCGGTCCTTCCCCAAAAGATCTCTGTTATAGAGCCTGTCAAGTAGGAGTAAGAAAACAGCCTATGTTTACATTCACAATATGGCTTCCATATCCAGGACATAGGGGTGGGATAAGGATCATGATTGGTTATAGTCTTGTAACTTTGTTGCTGGAAAGTTTTGTGGGCAAGGGTCTTTTTTCCAGCAACAGAAAACTTTGTTGCTAGAAAGACCCTTGCCCGCAGTGAGTTTCTAGGAACCACCATCATCAAAGTAGCTCAATTGATCATGAATAATTACAAGGTTGTTGCATTGGGAGGATGCCATAGAAGACAGGGGAGGGTGACACATGTCACGTATACATTCATAGGTTAAGGCCTTCTGAATGGTGGTCTCCTCATCAATAGTTAAATAATGCAACTGGGGGGTGGGGGATTTAGATTGCATAGTATGATCAGACCATGTGTCCTACCAAAACCTAACAGTATCACCTCTCCCAACATCACATTTAGCCAAAGGCTGAAATTTGTCCCATGGAGACATACAATCTCTCCACCAAAAGGAGCGGCACCTGCCAAAGTGTTGTGGAGGCAGACATGTCAGAGTAATGAGCTTGCTAGATGAAGTTAATCCAAGGGATGTTCTTCTTGTTGAAGAATATGTATACTCTCAGATGAAGTACCTCTACGTCACATGACTTGGGCCTACATGCAAGACCTCATTCGGCAAGACATTTACCATGATATCAATATCTTTGCCTACATAGATAACACTTGTAACATTTTCTTAGTGAAGGTCTGAAGCATAACAAAATTGATATATATGGTGCCTTAATTGCTTTCTGCAAGTTAGAATTAATATAATTTGTCTTTGTACGACAACACATGTCTTGAGTTGATCAGATTTAATGATAATCTGATGTGCATAGTGTATTTATTTGTTTCCACCGTAATCATACAGTAGGAATATACCTGTTTCTTATATTGAGAAACAAATATTTAGTTGTTGTGAATGGTGGATGTTCAAACCATGTTGTTTCTTATTATAAGATATCCATGTGTTCTTTTTGCAGCGGGAAAAAAATTCAAGATATGGTCTGGCCGAAAACCATAGAAATCGAAAGAAGAGTGAAATGGGGGGATTTTAAAGAATTCCTCAAGGATCTTCGCTACTCTCAAAACCGGTCGATAATGGTAAGATTATTTTCTTACATTATAGATGATTCATCCTTGTTCTTATGATTTGACATTCCCCCCCTATATGATTATTTACTATTGTGTTGAAATGAGTTTGAAATTGTATGTGGCATACGTAGATAACTACTCCCTCCATTCCTAAATATAAGACTATTTAGAGGTTTTAATATGGACTACATACAGATGCATATTGTGTATTTTAGAGTTTAGATTCGCTCATTTTGCTCCATATGTAGTCCATATTGGAATCTCTAAGAAGACTTTATATTTTGGAACGGAGGGAGTATGTGTTTTGTAGCGTCATTTTTCTTTTATCAGTTTTACTAGTTGATGAAACATCACAGAAATAAACCTGAACTAATATTTACTTGCAATCAATATTCTATTAGGTAATTTCCCTGTGCTTGAATGCCGAGTCTTCGAAAAATGGCTTAGGGGGAATGAAGGAGGTAACGTTGACACTTGATTTTCCATTTCTAGTCTTTTTAAGGTATGGACATTCAGAATATTATGTTTAAGGTATTTATGACACTGATGCAGGTTGCAAAGATGTTAAAATTGAACAAAAGAATTGGTTTAGCAACAATAGAAGATGATACATGTATTTATGTATGTCCTGGGCAGAAGGAGATAATAACAGTCCTTAAGAAATATGGTTTCTGGAAAGGCACGTCAACAGTCCATACAAACCAAGACTCTTTAATTGGTTTTGTTGTACGGGACCGAAGATCACCGGTAAACACAAGCAAGGGAGAGATAAGCATTGACAAAATAAAAGAAATTGGGGTTACTCATGTGGAAGCACAACAAGTGATATATGGTAAGCTTGTATTATCTATTAGTCCACATACATGGAAGTCTTATTCTCTCACTGTCCTCCTCTGGTAGTTGCTGATCATGCACATCATCCTTCTCTTCTTTCAGATCAACGATCATACCCTGTTCACCCTCTTCATGTTCCAGTAGATGACGGCATATATTTTCGGCGTCCTGCTCTGGTATTAGCAGAGCAAGGCGCATATCGTCCATATCCTCCTCCTGGACTACTAAGTCATGACTTTCATTCTCCGCATCCTCCTCCTGGACTATCAGGTCAAGGGTTACATCCTCGACATCCTCCTCATGCCCCAGAATGTCAAGGCGTGCTTCACTCGCATGCTCCTTGCGCAAGAGACCAAGGTTTCATTTCCCATCGTCCTCCCAATTTTGCACCAGGATATTTGAGGCCCTCAACTGGTCATGGAAACAACAAGGGTATTTCTCCTGACTAGCAATATTGGATGTTTAGTGAATGGCATGAGACTGACTATGTTATTGCAGGTTCACTACACTTGAGACCACCTAGTGGTTCTGCTTCTGGTCGTGTGTGGCCTCCCATGTCGCACCCAAGGTCCGGGAACGATCTTTATGGTTTTGAAAGATCGAAAGGTTTCTCTCGCTCTAGCTCCACATATTACTCTAGATACGACAATGGCTCAGGTAGCTGGCCTCGCAAGTAAAGTCAATGATGAAAGCGTAGCCTTGTCCCAAACAACATTCTGAATGATTTATCTTAGATTGGTGTATTCAGAAGTACAAGCCAGACACCAAGACATGGATTCTTGTTTCCTTTTCTTTTTGGACCAGTTACTCCCAATATCTGCAGAACTGAATTCTTGATGTGTACAATGATGTATTACTATGTACCAACTGGCATTGCTACATGTATCTTAAGATTTGGTGCTCAATGATGTTATTACGTAATTTTATGGATAAGCCATAGGAAGTTTTTGTTCTGAATAGTTGAAGTGTGTCATAGTGAACTACTACGGTATGGTAAATATGGCGATGGAACAAGTCCTCTAGGTCTCCTCCCTGTCCTGGTGAGCTTGTTCTACTAAGATGCTTGTCAAACGCCTCCCTCCTTGTCGACTGCCAGAGAGCTTTCGCAGGATGCCAGCCGGTTGCCCAATAAGCTTGGCTTCAAATATAAAATCGTGTTTAGCTACAACGCAGTTCGAGTTTCTTAGGTGGTGTTCGTTGTTATGAGTGGATTTTTCCCCACATTGGCTGCTCTTTTTATTATAATTATTCCCTTGACTAAATAGATATATTTTTAAAAAATCGGATGCTAAGTGTCTATTAAAAACCTAGTTATAATGGAGAGTTTTAAGTAGGTTTCCATCACTGCAGTCAAGAAGGTGTGTAACCGAATGGCCCACGAATTAGCTACTTACGCTAGGAGATTTGGGGACAGTGTTACCGTTGCTCATGTCCCAGATTCGCGCAGGCGCCTCCTCCAGGAGGAATGTAATGCTAGTCAGTAATGTAATTGGCCTGGGCCTTTTCTATTTTTTTTTTTGAAAAGCTAGTTGATTTTCATTTGGGTAACAGTCGTTTTTTTGCACATTTTTTTTCTGAGGGCACAATGTATATGTGCGCACATTTCCTCTGTCCTGATTGTGTCCCTTGTCTGCCTTTGATTTGGGTCATAGCCAAGTTTCCCCCTACTACTAACTGACCCAAAACTTGAGAAAAGAAAATCTAACGGCTATGATCTTCTAGACCCAATAAGAGCAACTTCAATAGCTCACCTAAAAAACTTTACGTAAAAGTCATGTCTGTATAATTTAGAGGAACTTGTTAGAAGACAATTTTTTAATTCCCGTAAACATCTTTCACTAAAATATTTTTTAAATAATTTTTCATTAAACAAGCCTAGCTAATGGCCTATGGCCCGCAAGTTAGTGACACATGTGACAGTGGCCGACAAGGTGGCGTGGTAGCGATGACGATGGTGGCCGGCGAGGTGGCGTGGCGCCATGGTGCGAGGGTGTCCGGACATGAAGGTTGGCCACCAAAATTATACATAAAGATCATCTTTCCGTAAACATAAGGAGAGTTATCAGCAATTATAGAGGACCCGTAAAAAATTTAAATTTACGGGAGCTGTTGAAGAGCTATTTTTGCCTCAACCTCTCGTAAATAATTGTATTTTTAATGATATGGGAACTGTTAGAATTGCTTCAACACCCGATGAGTAAACAACTTTGGTTGACTGCTCTGGGCGGAAAGCTAAGACTACCCCTTGGTTGATGGTAGACATTTGTCTCTATAGTACTTTAAGAAAATATATAACTTTTCATGTTTTACTTTTATTCTCATCACCTCTTCGTCCAACATTCCCTGC